ATGAGTTTGAAGTTTCCACAATCAATGTCTTAAGCTCCACTGGTTCTGCAAGTGACTCTGCCCAAGCAGATGCCTGCATCCATACAGGGTGACGTGCAGTATCAGGATCTTAAGTAAAACTAGTTTCAAGAGTAACGGACTATGGGATTAATACAGCACTGAATTCTGTATTCTTTAGGACCAGGGTTCAATTCTGGTCAGTAGTGATCAAGGACCTAACCTTGCATCTGAAGAAGTGGGTTTTTTACCCACGAAAGCTTATGCTCAAATAAATGTGTTAGTCTTTAAGGTGCCACCAGACTCCTTGTTGTTTTTAAGGACCTAACCCTGTTCCCACTGAAGTCAATGGAGTTTTGCCACCGATTTTAATAGGAGCAGGATTGGACTTCAGTAGCTGTTACCCTCTGACAGTTATTCATGGGTTATGTGAAACTACTGACTGAAAGATGAATTGATGAACCTCATGTCTCTCCAACCATTTTCTTTCATTGATCCTGAGTCCTACACTCTGGCCTTAATGAAGACTGTGTGCCGCAGGCTTCAGTTCAGAGCCTTGTCTTGGCCAACAGTCAGGTGTCAAGGTCCATTCCATTTAGTTGATAATATGCTATAGACTTTTACTGGCCAAGAAACAACATCAAGCCCTACTCACTGAGGCCTCAGAGCTGATGGGAGATAGCCTTTGGTACACCACAACAGACCTAGATGGATACACCAAACTTCTATAGGGCTCAATGGGTTAAAGGAAGACTGTCAATGTTGGGAAAGCTACCTTGCTACCCCACACATGCCAAGCGATTATAATTATTAGCAAATTCCTAGTAAATTCTATGTCTCCCTCTTATCCTAAAGAAAATACTTCAGTACAATAATCCAGAATTTATGACCAACCCTACAACGAGCCAATAGCATGTTCACATATGTGAAAAACGAGAGAGGTCTCGGACATGAGCACAATTGGTGATTTATTTAGGACTGATGTATGTGTCAACAAGATTGACCTGAGCTTCCTACAGGCACATTGGCAGGTGCCTTGGTGTTTGTGTTTTTCCTCCAAGAGCACTGAACAGAGATCATCCTATCTGAGAAAGAGAATTACAGGGATAGTGAAGAACTGTTGAACGCTGGTCTTTCCCATCTTTTGTACTACTATAGAAATAAAAAAGGAAACAGGACCAAGCTTTCAGAATATGGGAGGGGGCATGCTATAAAAATCAATTTTGGGCAGAAGGGGGGTTAACTACGAAACAGTGCCTGTTTCTCTCTATTTGACTGACATACTAAGGTCCCCCTCCCGCAAAAAGAATAGGTGACATCAATGAGACACTGTGTATGTGCCCATTTGTGTGTGCCAGAGGCAGCACAATTCCGATATGCCAAAATGCCTTGCAGAAGATGAGTGCTTGGGATAAAGGCACCGAACAGGCGGCTTTCCAAGGGACACGACTGATCTTCAATTAATCCCGATTCGAGGTTAACCAGAGGTTAGATAATCATGCGCAGGATCGGATTTTAAACGCTTGGGTTACAGCCCCAGGCGTGTCATGAGCCCGAGCCCCGTGGGCAGCACCCTGTACCCCCAGAGGGCCGCACGGATTTCAGTGGGGCACTGGGCAGGTGCACGGTGCTGCTTGCAGGGAGGCGATGATAAGATCGAGGCCCAGGTGGGTTATCCCGGCAGGGCGCTGGGAAGGGAGTGGGTCACGTCCCACGGAGCCCGCATTACGCAGAGAGGCGCTGGGCGGAACTCCCCAGACCAGAACCCGTGAATTTCTCGGGTCAGCAGAGAGACGAGACGCCCCGGGGCCGGCACCCCCGGCCCGGCCCAGCCCGCTCCGCTCACCTGGTCCAGCGGGGGCATCACCGCCGCGCCGCCGCCCATCTTAAACCGCAGCAGGTTGTAGATCTCGCGGGGGCGGCCCAGCCACTTCCCCACCCGCTCCATGGGCAGCCGCGCGCCCCGGCGCTGGGCGTCCCGCGCACTGAGTCGCTCCCACCCCGGCCCGCTCTGCCCAGCAACCTGCCCCTCCGCGGCTCCCCTGCCGGGGCATCTTCCGCGGCGCGGAGAGGGAAGACGCGACCCCGCCCACCCCCGCTGACACCGGCCTATCAGCGTGCGGCGCTCGCGGCTCCGTGGGTGGACGGGCCGCTCATTGGTCGCCCCCTTCTCGCACCAGAAGGACGCGGGCCAATAATCCGGCTCCGGGGCTGGTGTGACGGATGTCGAATTCCTCTGATTGGCTGAGAGGGGAAGGTACCGCCCACCCATCCCTCGCGAGGGGAGCAGGCGAGGAACAGGCGCCGGGTTTCTTAAAGGGGCCGCGGCTCATTTCGGAGACAGGGAGGCTGCCATCTGGCGGCCTTGCGGGGAGGGGGGCCTCTGACAGCCCGAGCAAAACCCACCCCAGGGGCAGCGTGTCCTGCCCCTGCCCGACCTAGCCCCGTCCCCATCCCTTGCCAGACACCCCTAGTTCCAGCACCTGTGGACCAACTGCTTTGATTCCCCAGAACCAGCCCTCAGCAGCCCAGCTGCTGCCAGCTGTGATGGTCCCTGTGCCTGGCACCACACCAGCCTGTCCCACTTTGTCACCCATCACCTTGTGTGTGCCCTGGAGAGCCCCCTCCCTGCGCTGCATCCTGCCGAGACCCCGCACTGGTCCTGATCCCGCTGGTGGTCCAACTGCCCTCTCCCCTCCTCAGGTCAGCAACTTGCTGCAACCCCATGGGTCAACCGCATGGTCTCTGGACAATGGCTAGTGTCCCAACAAGGGCAACGGGGGCCCATACAACTACCTGCAATAGATCAACTGACCTCACCACCTCTGCCCCAGGGGTATTTCTCCATTGCTTCTTTCTAAGCCCAGCATTTCAAGCACCCTTTTGATTTGGTTTTCACCTGCGTCGGCCTAAAGGGACAAGTGACTGGCTGCTAGTCGCAACGTCTGGCTGGAGGTGTCAGGCTGGTTTGCACTTTAAATCATGAAGATTTGAATTCGTAATGCATCCTTGCCTCTTACCAGTGTTTCTGCTCTGTACTAAATATGAATTATTAATAGAACAGTGTGTGTCACTTTTGGAGCCTCCTTTGTTCCAGGTTTCAGAGTAGCAGCCGTGTTAGTCTGTATCCGCAAAAATAACAGGAATACTTGTGGCACCTTAGAGACTAACAAACCAGAGTCCCTGCTGGTTCCAGTGGCCAGTTGTGCTTTTCTCCATCTGTGGGACAGCATGACCCCTGGGACCACGTTTCTCAGATGCAGATCAAGCCACAGCTATTCAGGTTCTTTTGACCTCCAGGCTGCATTGCTGGAGCTATCTCGGAAGAACAGTCAGAAGCTGTAGCACAGTGGCTCTCGAACTTTTTTACTGGTGACCCCTTTCACATAGCAACCCTCTGAGTGCAACCCCCCTTATAAATTAAAAACATTTTTTTATATATTTAACACCATTATAAATGCTGGAGACAAAATGGGATTTGGGGTGGAGGCTGACAGCTCGCGACCCCCCATGTAATAACCTAACGACCCTCTGAGGGGTCCCGACCCCCAGTTTGAGAACCCCTGCCGTAGCAGATGCAGAATTCAATGAGCCGGCTTGGTAGGGCAGATGGAGGAGGCACATTAAATGCGCCACACTGCACTGGCTTCCCCGTCACTTCCCAATGCAATTTGAGTTGTTGCATTTGGTTCATACAGCTGTATATGTTTAGGGTCTAGCTAAGGCCTGATCCAAAACCCAGTGGATTCCCTGGGCTTTGGATCAGGGTTTAAGTGAAAGAGAGCCTTTTCCCCTGTACACTGCCACAGCACTTCCAGTCAGCAAATTTGGAATGGCTGGAGCGGCTGTTCCCAGTGGAGGCCTTTGACTCTGACACTCTCTCCACCCTATTGGTCTGACCCAGCCCAAGTTTATTAATGTCTAGTTGCAAAGCATAAAGACCATGGGCCAAGATCACCCCTGGTGTTACCCCATTGAAGTCAAGTTACACCAGGGTGGAATGTAGCCTCTTCTGTTCATTCAAGCTTTTGCCTCAGGAAGGCCAGCAGGTGATGCAGTTTGCAAGTTTAGGGAGTGTCTTGCCTACCTGTTAGGAAATCGGGATTATTTCTTATAATTATTTCTCCAGAATCAAAGTCTTTGGGAATAGACACATCCTCTTAAAAATAGTTGATGCAGCAGCGTCAGCACCTGGTGAGCACATATCTAGCACGGATCTAAGCCACAATGCAAATGAGTTGATTGTAACATCTTAAAGCGGATCAAGAGCATGATTTCTTTCTACAACAACGCAGGCTGGTGTTGGAAGAAAAGAGTTTCTCATTGAATTGCGAGAGCTCCGCGTCAGAAGCTAGCACAGGCAGTTGTAGTAAAAGCTTTCCCCACTCTGCCCTGAGCTGGAAGGACCACTTCTAGCCCTGGGCTCTCAGCTGAGAGTGCCAAGAAGGGTGCCAATGGTTTTGGGATGTGAACACATGGTGCCAACCTGTTAGAGTCATAAGAATGCTTAATCACCATCAAGCCGGCTGCACGTGAATCGCTGGCTTAGGGGAGAAAAGTTCTACTTCCCATTACTCACTCTTCCCAGCCAATTGGTTTGGCAGGAGGTTTGTAAAACAGTCAAACAAACAAGACAATCACACAGAAGTTATTTATACTGCTTTGCTGGCAGAAGAAAAATTGAACATATTCAACTTTTTACATGAGCAAATCTGAACGTGCCAAATATTTCAGTGGCTACAATTCCTAACTTCTGGGGGAGATTGACACCTACTACTGTTTGCCTTATTTCTTTTCATAGCTCAATAATGACTTGGGAGGGTCACAAAAACATCCCCTCCCTTTTTAACGAAGCTCTATTTTCTCTCCACATTTTGCCTTCCAGGATAAGTGATTTCTGCTCAGTACAACTGACAGCCTGTCACAAAAAGACCAGAAGGCAACGTTCTGCAAGAAAGGAGAGTGTGTTCATAATCCACATTAAGGCTGGCATATTTGTTCACTCAGCATTTAAGCAATTTGGGGTCATTCCCTTCAGGAGGTACTAAAGGCTGGCACTGAGGACACCACCAGCTAAGCCTCTTAAACCCATCTCGGGGTCCAAAAGTTCCCTGCATCACCTCATGCCCAAGAGGACATTTTTCTTTCAGGTAGATCTGATAGTGTAATCCTTTTCCAGCCAGCTTCTTATGCAGCCAGTCTGTGCTGAACTGAACGGCATGATCCAGCAAGGATTCAAGATCTGAGAGAGCCAAGAGCGAGCCTTGCGATAATGGGTGGATCCTTGCCAAATATAAGATCTCGTTCTTAATGATGTTCCCTGGATCATGGGGCGAGAAGAGAGGTTCGTAAACACAGGTGCAATAGTGAGACAGTGAGAACCAATCACATGAATAGAAGGCACGGTCTAGTGGGTCTGAGTGCTTGTCTAGGAGGAAGAAGCTATTGACCTCTCTTTGTGCCTATGGTTCCAACTCCCTCTGTGGCCTTGGGGAAGTCAGGTAACCTCGCTGTGCCTCTGGTTCTCTGTCTGTACAGAGGATAATACTCATCTACCTCTCAGGGGGATTATGAAACTTAAGAGCCTGATTTCCAGAGGCGCTGAGCAATGACCGCTCCCATTGAAGTTGGCACTCATGAGAATTAAGTCCTAACAGATTTGTTTTCATAAAGAGCTGAGATATCCGGGGATATCAAGAAGAAGAAGTCATGTCTCTATGCTGACATTTAACATGCGGGGTTTGCAGCTAATAAATCTGAGACCCATCTCTAACTGGCCCAAAATATCACTATTTCTGGAGGGTATTCCCCTCTCTGGTGGAACATACCCAGACCGGAGAAATATCTCTGGTCCAGAAGAGTGTAGCAGATGGACGTCGGCTGGCGAAGGGCTGCCAAGGCCTGCCCCCGATGGAACTTGGGAGACAGGATGTCAGAAGCAGGTTCCACAGCGGGAGAGGTGCACCAGTGGATCCGGCAGTTGTAAAAGACGAGGAAGCCCCCGCTGTCGAAGTGCAGAACCAACCTACAATAAACAGGATGGAAATTAGAGCGAGAATATCCTGGCTTTGCAGTGTCAATCCAGAAACATGACCAGAACAATCATGTTCCAGTCTAGCCGAATGCGCATGTAGAGATGGGAGGAAGGGGATCAAGAAAAAGTTGGCGACCAGGGAAAATAGTGGGAACCGGGTGGAGAAATGGTGGAAGAGGCGGGGAAATCCCTATATATTTGCTAGCGGTGTCAATTGCTCAGCCTTTGTACCCAAGCCTCTGAAATCAATGGGAGTTGAGGGCACTCAACACTTGGCAGGACTGAACCCCCTTGTGAGCACTGCTGTGTTTTCCTATATCTACTACTACAGACACCTTACATGCTTCTGGGCTCAAAGTTTGGGGCTTATTTCACAGTGTTTTTTCAGAATTGCCGACCCTGGACGTTCAAAAATCATGAGCCCAGCCTTCTAAAAATCATGAGATTGGCTTAAAAATCGTGAGATTTAAAAATAATAATAAATGTTAGGTTCTTTTTAATTCGCCTTTTGAGTTTTGAGGGTTTAGGCCTCCCGTTTTCAAGCTTTCCTCTGCCACTGGGAGGGCTAGAAACTTTTTTCCCCCAATGAAAGCTTGGAGATTCTCACACAATAACATGACTCCAGGAGCTGGGGCTTTCAGAAACAACACCAAATCTCACAACGAGTTGGCAACAGCATAGGGGAGGAAAGTGAAGAGGCAGTCAAGGGGGGGAAGCCTTTCAAATGATATTTGAAAATACATGGAGAGGTGATGAGCTGCAGATACACATGGGCTGTTTTACAAGGCAGGAGCTGCAGGCACGGCTGTGCACTGGGAGTTAAGACTGAGGTAAGATAATGATATTGGCTATGTCTACACTACCGCGGTAAGTCGAC